AAATTTATTAGGCCTTAATTTTTTAGAGATTATCAAATATGAGAAAAGTTATTTTTGGAAAAAAAAACCCCAGACTAACTAAAACTATTCCAGGAGAAAACTGGATTTCTGTTCTTTCACCTGATATTTACCCTATTTGAAAACCTGTAAGCAATAAAACATTTAAAATCTGTCCATTCATTCATCTGGTTATGTTAGAAGAAACATTACAAACTACTGTAGGCAGAAAATTAATGTCTGGAAATAAACAAGGGTTAATTTTGTTCCAGTGTACACAGACTAACTCCTTAAAAACGCTCTAGAAAAATAAATTTTGTGATATTCCCAGTGTCCCAATGTGGTTTATTTTTAATATCCTCCACATTCTCTGTTCTTTCTGGAGCACAAAGAGTTGCAGGAGAACTAGTTATCCAATAAACAAGGGATTGTATTTAAAAAGGAGTTTCTTAAAGACATACTTTGCTGGGAGGTGGTTGCTTTGAGAGCCACTTGTCCATGGAGCTGAAAGCTTAATAATATGGACTTTGTCAAAAGGATCTGAACTGAGGTTTCCATATTTTTCAATAAACAGTGGTAGTTTATCTCCTGACACTTTTCACCATATTTGAGTACCTGATGCTTCTTTAAATCTTCAAATACAGCACAACACAAGACTTCAGGGTCTGCAGCTGTAACAGCTCATGCCCACAGTTCTTGGCATTGCATTGTTTGAAGCTGGCACTTACACTTTGTCTTTTCTTCTGCAATATTTTCTCTTTCAGAAGCTGTATGCTCATCAGGACATTGCATTGTAAGCAGAAAGCTGCGTCTGCTTTAAAATTGCTAAATGCTGGCTGCATTGCCTTAGCTGAGGTTTCCAAGGTCTCTGCTAAGAGAAATTTGAGTAATTTGGGAATTTAAGACTAAGGATAGAAGGAATCTGTAAAATAAGGTTGAGTTTGTAAAAAGACCAAAGTAGTCACTGGTTTTGGATTTTCAAAGTTACAACCCTGTTCTGTCAAAATACACCACCTTAACTTCTGTTAATTTTTAAGCAAACAATGATTATCTTGATAGACTCAGACCTGAATGCAGCATCTCAGCAGCTAGTCAAAATGAGCCCTGAGCTGCAACAAGTATGGTAACTATTGCAGCAAGTATATAATCAGTGCTCAGTATGTGGTGCATACTTGTCTGTTGTCAAATCTTAACTGTCAGAGTTTGCAAAGCTGCCCTGAATGCTCAGCACACCCCACAGAATGTGTTAGCTGATGTATCTCACCACAGGAATCCTGCTGGGAGCTGTCAAGAGGTAGCTCAAGGCTACAGGCATTCAGGTTGAAAAATTAAGGCAGTTTCTGAAACAGCTGGAATAAAGAGCCATTCCTACTCACTTTCTCAGTGGCATCCATCATGCCTTCCTACCTCATCTGAAAGGTACCAGGGAAAAGACTTCACCAACCAATCAGCCTCCTCAGAGACCCCTCCCTTCTTCCCAGCAGCTTGGATGGTTATCAGTGAAAGGTGAAACACAAAACAGCACACTGAGGTTTACAGTAAATTCAACATTTACATCTTTTACCCAAGCTGTGAAAAAAAATCGAGAACAATCAGCATTTGCTTTCTATTAGTTTCTATTACTGTTTTCAAATGTCTGAGCTGTCAAGTGTTGTGAAACCAAAATGAATGGAATGGATTTTAAATCATGATTTTTAATGCAACGTAAGACTAAACTTTTTAAATAGTACTGGGTTTGGATCATAACAATCTCTGATAACTCGAGGATGACATGACAATCAGTTAACTACCAGTTGAACTGTTTTAATGTAACAGTGCCAATATATGTAAGGAAATGTCTTAAATTGTTATGTCCATGCACAAGGAATCAGTTTGTAGCAGTGGAGGCCCCACCTACTTTGAAAAGAATCTAGTGGTGTAGGTGACTTGGATATTAAGCACACTTGAACTCTTTTATGATCGAAAGTTTCATCTGTCTGAGGTAAGTTTAATAACAAATTATTTATTTTTACTTATTAAAATAATTACTCAAAGCATAGGTTTATAAAGCTGGTTAAAGACACTTCATGGCTAAAGAATTAGCAGTAGTTAAAAGTGCTGATAGTTAAGACAGTAAATTCATGGCCTCTTTCAGTGGTGTATGATGGCAATATGAACTGATACTGTACTGATTATGTTGCAGACAAATTAAATAGAAAGCCCTACAGCTGTCTCTGTAAATACATGGAATGTAAAGTCTAATAAATAGGAAAACATGAAGTAGTGAAGTTGTTGCCTGGTTATTTCACATAATGATGCCTGAACAATATTGTGTAACAGCTGTTAACATTACAGACAGCAACACTGGGTGGTCAGTGCTGAGAACTGGGATGGAGCTGAGTGTACAGGGTTTGTTTAACTGGGGGTGATGCCTGAATGGGTGGTGTAACTGGAAAGGGGGAGAGGATTTGCAGCACCTAGTGCAGGTGCCTGTGTTTGGTACTACCTCTCTGATGGTACCAGGAGCTTTCAGGATAGGAACTACCACTCTGAATGCTTTGCTTAAGGAGCCCTTCTGTTTAGTGTGGGATTTAAGCAGCTCAAGTAGAAGCTAAACTCCTTAACCCAAACAAATCCTAAAGATGGGTTTGGTTTTTTGATGCTGCCAGACCGAAGAAAAGCCAAGTCAGTTCCTCTGCTTTCCTGCAGAGCTCTGCCAGAGTTTCTAGCTTGTAACCCAGTGGGGAACGTATTATGCCTGCACTGCAGAATTTTGCTGTAGGCCCCTGAGCTCTGGAGTGGTTTTGGCTACTGGAGCTGTAATTTCATCAGACCAGGGACAATGCAGTTTACTGCAAAAGAATCTTTCTCCCTGCATTGCATCTGACATGATTTGTGATCCAGTGAATATCTGCCCCTCCTCTGAAGTAACAGAAGTACAGGACTCTGGAGAAACTGCAACACTAATCTTTGATTTCAGGCAGGCTTGACAGTGAACTGCAGTGCAGCTACAGTCAAGCAATGAAAGGTTTTTACTTAATTGATACTGCTCCCATTACAAAAATAAGCATCCACAGCACGTTTATTTAAATTACTTCATATTTTTACATAACCTGAAAAGAAAATATATTTATCCCACATACAGTAAACAAGTGCATTATTTCAAACATTAAAAATAAATCTTTTAACCAAGTCTGTACAACAGATAAATAGAATTATATCTACAATACTTAAGTTGTGAAGAACAAAACAAAAATTATCCCTTGAACTCACAGTTCCCTGTTGCTTGTAATACTGGCATAGATGAAGGTTATGCACTCTACCCCCCACTACTGCTCACCTACACCTCTTCTTTCAGTCACTTGCATGTACTGAGCGAGGAGGTTAACTTCCCAAACACTGGAAGAAAAGCACACACAGAACAGACAGCTGAGCACGTTTCCAACAGCTAGCAAACAGCTGGCAGACTTGGTAAAACTGTGGAATTTGGGTGCAATGAATTACTTCTTTCTGGTTTTTATGATGAATGAATGGTCAGTCTTTAAAAGAAACTGTTTTCCACCATACACACAAAAAAAGCCATTCTTTTTACAAATCACTTTTGCACTCATTCAAGGCTGCAGGTTTGAATTCAGTATTTTGCCTGGGATAAGATCAAACACATGCACGTGACAGTATGCACAGTATAAATTAGGATTCATGTTGCTTATAATAGGATATAATTGCACATATGCTTGGAAAATAGTATTGTGCTCGTGGTTTTGACTGCTAACGAGTAATCGGTAGAAGAATAAAATGAATAAGCAACTAGAGGTCAAACTATCACTTGAACCAAACCCACAAACACCAAGGGAATGTCCCTAACTTTGCTGAATAAGCAGAACATAAACGACAGCTTGTCAGTGCCACACTGAAGGACTATTTCCTTCAATTTCAGTTTTTATGCTAAAGGAGAGTTAGTAAGGAAGATGGGCACTGCTGAAAAGGATGGGGAAAACGTATCCTCCACACAGCCCCAGTCTCATTTCATTTGTAATTGTGTGACTCAACCACCTACTTGCAACAAACTGAGCACTCAATCCCTCCTCCTCCTGAGCACAACAGACTGACTTGTTTCCTTGTCTTACATCCTTTTAAATGAAAATATTACTACAGGATAGGATATGGCACCAGTTCCCTAATGAGACTTAGTTCAAGGTCACCTACAAACTCAGGGAGAGGTTTGAAGATCACCATTCTCCTATTCTCCCCTTTCCTTCAGATCTGATGGAATTCTATCTGACTTGAAAAGGTTGGAGGTCTTCCAAAAATTCTCCATCTTGAACTGAGTCTCTGAAAATTATTCATCTATTTCTTCACTGGGATTGTACAGAGAACTACACACAGTTAAATGAATTAATGGAAAAGTTATGAAAAAGCAAACAATTTAAGGAAAAAAAATCAAATTTTCTTTATAAAAAAACTTCATCTCAGAATTCACCGTATTTGCTGATAACACCTTAAATTTCTAAAAAAAAACCCCTCATAAAATATGTAAACTTGTATATAATCCTCAGTCACTGAATTGACTACTTTTTATTTCCACGTATAAAGGGTTTCATACAACATGTACTGCTTCCACCCAAAATACCAATTCCTAAACAAAAATTACCCATTTGTTCAGAAAAATGCCCTGGTTTCACATCAGCTCAAGGTGACCATGACGAAGGATCCTGTGTTTGTTGGCTTTGTTCCTTGCTGGGAACAGTGACAGCATGTTATGTGTAGGCCAGTAACATCTCCTCTTCCCTCGGCTCACCAGTGTCAGGTAACTCCGTGATGTGCCCACGATATTGCTCAACCACTTCACTTCCTCGTGTCACGTTTAAACAGATATGTAAACAGAAACATACATCCAGTAGAAAAGACTCATTTTCACATGCAATTCTGTACAGTGCACTCTTGTTTCTCAGATTACTTGAGAAGGCTATTTCCACACCAAGTATGTACATTTGTACTATATACACTTTCCATACTCTTAATTTAAATGTCTTCTTGTACCTCCAGTTGAGAATTTTTGTTCAGGCAGACACAAAGTAAACCTGAAGAAAGTTTCCAAGTTAATGCCTTGACTGATCCTGCATTGTTGAGAAGATGTGTAGTCCAGAAAAAAATCCAGCTATGCATAGCAACCTTTTCAGCAGAGTTGAGTTATCTTTAGGAACAACAATCTGTGCTAGGTCATTAGTGATCTGAGAAATTTCATGTGCCACACACACAAATATAAAAGTGCTGACAAGAACATTAAACATTGGATATCCAGGAATGAGCACCAAGATCCCCTTTGTGTCTGCTGCCAGCCAGATGTGGTATTGGCAAATGAAAAGCTACAAGAAAAAACAACGTGTTTAGTAATTCTTACGTATAAATACTTATCTAAAAGCATGTAATTATTACTATTGCATCAGCTGACACTTCTGTTTAAGTCAGAAACTGTTTTCCACATCTTTGGTGTTAAGACCAAATAATGAGCCTGTCAGAGCACACAGTGGAATGGGTTTCTTGGCCCTTATTAACCAAACGTGGCTCAGGGAAGCATTGGCTACATCCTGCCAGAGCAGAGGGGGAATCCACCACCTTTGCTCAGGCACTATCTGTCGAGGGTCTGAACTAACACACCTGCAAATAACAAACAATGCTTCAGCTCCTCTGAATGCACAGGTCCCTGGAGTTCAGCAATACCTTAAAGTTCACCAGAGGAGTGAAAATGTGATCCTTTCAAAAACCCCAGTAAATCACGTACTACTGTATTACAATGAGCTTCTCCTATAAGTTCCTTTCCCTTCCAAAATAGATTCTAGTAATATTATAAAATTTAACATTTAATATTACTAAACAGTGAATAAAATGAGGAGCAATTCCTACCGTTTCAAAATACACACTCAGTGGGACAAGATAACATTTGCACTGAGAAGGGTTTTGTTTGTAAAGTTATGTTTGTTTATTATTCACAAAAAGCTTCCTAGGGCAAACACATTTCTAAGTGTACTTAAACTAGAAGTATAAGTCATGCTGATTCTTCGACTGGCTTATATTTTTAGCTTCCAACTGCATACACCTCACAGCATACTCCAAGACTGAAGCTGCACTCCCACAGCCTTAAATCACCCCATCCCCCAGAACAGCACAAGAACTAAGCTTTGCTACTGTGAGGCTGCTGGCTCAGCTATGATTTGAAGTGTAGACAGAAGCTAGAATATTCAAATATGACAGCATATTATTAAATAAGCCAAGAAATGTTTTCAGTATTTTTGTGTTATATTACAATTTAGATAATAAACCCACCTCACATTTCTCAGTTTCAGTTCACTGTACTTCTGGCCATTCTACTCACCTCTAAAGAAATTTTGCCGAACCAGGCGAAGAATGAGCTATACACAGATCGGACATACCCAGGAATGTTCCTGATGAGGACGAAAGCTAAAATCTTTGTTTGAAACAAAAAGGTTAAAAAAATATAAGTGACTGTGGTTGACAAGCAGATTACAAGCACATGAAAGGTTTATTTGTTTTCACTGCCTTAAGTGAAGTTCATCATGCATTAATGTTTCTTTAAAATGCAATAAATATATAAACCAAACAAAAATCTGTGCCATTTATACTTAATAAAGTGGGCATTGAAATTAAAACCTCGGACATTCTTAAAGCATAGGAGGTCACATGGACATTGTCAGTAGAACCATGGCCTTGATGTTGACAGGTGTTACTATATGCTTACTAGGCATGGTCACAAAACATGTTTTACCATGCCAGCCTAGAATGAAGGTGGCCACAGATCTGAGCTACTCCTCAATTTTTAAAGAGAAGGTGTCAAGATGGACAAATTAGTATTAAAACAAGTCACACATGCTGGACCTCAAGAGAGCAGGACAAAGTATTAAGAAAAAGATACAGAGGGAACAGAATGAGACAGCTGGGGCACAGTGGGGCTGGGGACACAGCAAGTGTGACCCACCTCTGCTCTGCCTAAAAGCAACCACAGGACCCCACAGGTTGCTTCCTACACCAATAGCTCCCAAACACTTGGGCTTCCCTACAGTTTTCTTCTTTTCCACTGCTATGCAAATAGTCAAAAGTTGGGTTTGGACTTGAGTGCATGGGAAACCTATGGCTAAGGATATTAGAGTTAACCAAAAGCACAATCACAATGTGCAATTTCAGTACTTTGAAGCCAATGAAAAGCTGAACAAAGTCCTAACCCCTTTTTCACTTTCAGACACAAGAATGAAGCTCAATATCTGACATTCCACACTAAAGAACAAATGTATTTAAAAATCATTTTTAAAAAGCCCAAATAAGAACAGCCTAGAGTCTGCCACTGCACACAAAATGAACATAATAACAATTACCTGCACCACAGACACAGAAGGATGTAGCTCATTGCATTCTGTCTTGTTTTTACAGCTACTAGCCCAAACAGAGTAGGTCTGAAAGATATAAAAATCAGTCTGTGTAGCAATTATATGTAACATTTAAACATGAAACAAGAGTATGCTATTTTGAAGTACTTCAGTAACGGTTCACTAAGATGTGGGACAGTAATAGAAAAAATATATTGTGCTCAGTTTTGTGTTTCTTTCAAATTCTTCTTTGAAACTGATGAATACTATACTTATTCATAGAGATTTTTTCATCACAGACAAGCAACCAAGAGTAGTGATAAAAGCTGCATTATCCACCATGTTTTTATCATCCAATTTTCTTGCAACCTTAGCAATGAACTGAAAGAGTGGTGATGTTCTCATCTACAGCTGACTGAACAGAAAAATATTTTAGTGAGTACATAGGCAGGGCTCTACACAAAAGCACAGCTGAACTATCTCCAGATCAAGATTTGACTTTTTTAAATCAGTGTATTTTCTAAACAAGAACTTCAGAAAACTTATTCTTTAGATATTTACAAGCCTGATTATACTAGGTTATATATAAATAACTTAGTTATATGTATATATTACATAGTTATATAGTAGTCATACAGGATATGTAGATTAGGTACGTACCAAAAAGGACACAATTGAAATAAATAGCAAAACATTTGAAACTCTGCTGGAGAAAAGAGGATCTCCCTTTCCTTCCGATATCATCTGACGTTTCTGCAGTGCCAGATAAATAAAAGCAAACAGCATCCCATGAAAAACCACCTGTAAACAACAAACAGAATGCCATAAATATTTCACGGATTAACAAGTACTTCAGGTACAAACCCTTAACAGAAATGCCACAGGACAAACTATTGTTAAAGCCACATTTCAAAAGGTCCTTTCCCAGATTTACTGAAGCAAGCAAAACCAGATTTTCTACACTAGGTTGTCATAAACTGCATTTTTAACTCAACTCAAAAACTACAAATAAAAGAACTTCCACTAATGCTTCACAGAGCATTAAAGACAAGACAATGCAATTTCAAGAAGCTTTCAAGTACCTCCTATCCCCTTCTGCAATCTATGCCAGCATTGAAAAGGGCTTTCTCTGGGGAAAAACCACAAGTCTCTGGCCTTCTCCCAAGTTGGCAGGTGAAAACATTCGAGAAGCACAACAAGTGCTTCCCTCTCTCACACACACTTTGCTTCAACAGCGTTGTACGATCCCACGCCAAGTTCCCATTAGCCAGCAACA